AAAGTAATTTTCGTTTAATTATTTATTTGGGCCCAAAATCATATCATACCAAAAATATTCATCCCTCTATGTAGGGCAATATATAATAGTAATAGTGGAGATTATAATATTAAACTATATCTATAATATTTTCTATATAGGTACATTTTATAATATACCCCCTAAGTTGAGAGTGAAGGATCAACCCAAATCTTGAAATGAAAAGTAGTAAATGAGATAGTAGGAAGTGGCTTAGTAAATACATTTGCAAGTTGATTATAAAAGGAAATAAAACAAATCTAAATTTTCTTCTTCGCACCTCCATTGCGGACAAAATGATAATCAACTTCAACATATTTTGTGCGAGTATGAAAAACAAGATTCATAGATAAATAAGCGGCACCAAGGTTATTACACCAAATGATAAGAGTAGAAATAAAAAATATATGAAGATTTGTTAAGAAATACTAATTCTAGATAACCTTAGCAATGTCATCAACTATGGTTTTGTACTCAGCTTCAATAGAAGAGTGAGCAATTATACATTATTTAAAAAACACAAGATAACCATCCATAGATTTTCTATCATTAATACTACATGTTCAATCTGTATTTGTAAAGTCATAAAGTGCAAAGGAAGAACTATGAGTAATATGTAGTCCATGTGTTGTTGTACCCTTAAGATAACACAAGATACATTTAATGTAATCCAATAAGAATATGTAAGATCATGCATAAACTGACAGACTTTATTAATAGAAAATCAAATATCATATCTTGTAAAAGTAAGACATTGAAGAGCACTTATAATTAGATGAAAGTTCAAATATCAGATCTTGTAAAAGTAAGATATTGAAGAGCACTTATAATTAGATGAAAGTGTGTAACATTAGAAAACAAACAATTTGGCATTATAGTAGCTTTAGATGTAGAGATAGGAGCATTAACAAGTTTGCAAGATAACATGCAAGCTTAAGTGAGGATGTCAAGTGTATATTTATGTTGTCAGAGCATAAGACTCGTACCAATATATTAAATCTCAATACCCAAAAAGTAATGAATGGTATCTAAGTCGCGAAACTTAAATTCTGAGCTTAATAGTTGTATGAAGCGTTGGAGTAAAAAGGAGTTACTACCCGTAAGCAAAATATAATCAATATAGACAAGAAGATAACAAATATTGGCACTAACAGAGTAGAAAAATAATGAGGTATCTACCTTAAAGGTAATAAAACCAATAGATATCAAGAACTTATTCAAACTAGTATACCAAGCCCGCGGAGAACCTGTTTTAAACTATAAAGAGACTTATGCAATCTACACACATGAGAGAGGAAAACATAATGAATAAAAGCTCAAAGTTGTTTCATGTGGACCTTTTTATCAAGAACACCATTGAGAAAAGCATTATGGATATCAAGATGATAAATTTTCCAATCACATAAAACCATAATGGAAAAGACCAATCAAACGGTTGCTTTTTTGATAGCAAGATTATAGGTTTCAAAGTGATTAATACCTTCTTGCTAAGTGAAATCTTTAGCAACTAAAGGCGCCTTATACCACTCAATGTTGCCATTAACTTTGCATTTAATTATATATACCCATTAACTACTAACAACATTTATTAAAGGGTGAAACAACACCAAGATACAAGTGTAGTTAACGCGTAAGGCTTAAATTTCCTTGCACATAGCACTATGCCATGCCTCATACCATTTATCATCATTAAAAACAAGTGTCTCATAAGTAGAAAGAGAAACTACTCGAATTTAAATGTTCACTCAGCAAAAAAATCACAAATAAGTAAAAATTTCTCACCAAAGGAGGATTGTTTACTTGTCTCTACATGGCTAAATACAAGCAAGGATCCAATTACAGGAGTTGAACAATAAACAAAATAGTTCTGGGATTACGTACATGCTTACTTTGTAGACAATGAAGGAAACTTGAATAATCATTCACAAATAAGCATCTCAAGTAAATAGAGAAGTTGGTAAATGTTTTGGACTTGTTACTCAAATTGAAAATCATCAGCAAAGTGAAATGACCGAAGAATCAAGGGTAATGTTAATAATCATTTCTATGTTAAATTATTTAACATATATTTTAACATTATTTTATTTATTTATTTACTTACCAGATTAATGATGCTCGGCAAATGTATGCTTCTTGCGTTGGCAAATGATTTCAACTAGAACATTGTTGGGTTATCTTAAGAAAAGAACTCAAATGGCAATTTGAGCGTGCAGGTCAACATCAAAGGTCAAACAAGAAACAAAAAGGTCATGTCAATGCAAGTCCCGCTTCATCAACTCCATCTACCCCTGATTCTGTTAGTTTAGGAGAAGATAGTAAACCATTGATTTATCAAGATAGACTAATCGGTCAGAAGGCTGCAAAGGAACGACTAAATATAGATAAGAAAAAGATAAAGTTAGGGATGTAACTGTAATGAATCTCTTACAACAATTCAGGGATACTCTAGTTGAAATTGAGGATTAGAAGAAACAAGACAGGAAAATTATATTAGAACAACAAGCCATGATGATTCAACAAAGTCCAGAGAAACAAGAATTGGACAGGATTGAGAAAGCAGAACAAATTATGAAAATGAATATTTCTAATTTGGATCCAATTTCTGCAGTGCATTTTCAAAATAGAAAGTTAGAAATTATACAAAAGAGGGGTTTTGATTTTTAATTAACTTTGATTGATTTATTGTAATGTAATGTATTTTTAATTAAATATGTAGAAAATTCTTGGTTATTTTAAATACATTGTTATGAAATTGATATCAATTCATAATACTTTTTTAAAGTTCCTCTAACACTTAACAATAACAAGTAGGATTAATTAACTTAAAAGATAACAAACATAATGAAAAAAAAAACATAAAAAAACTTGAAAATTATGATAACATAAGAAGTTAAAATCTAAAGATTCTACTCGTTGTCATACTGTTCTCACAAATGTTCAAACAAATCTTCTTGCAGTTGAGAGCTAGTTGCTCTATCCCTAATTTGATTATGAGTTTGAAGAAAATCATGTAGTTCTGGTATTTCACCATGTGACATTGATATAAAGGAATTGACTTCATGTTCATGGTCGAATCCAAGGCTCATTGCTCCTTCATCCTCAATAATTATATTATGCATTATTATGCAAGTTTTCATAATATATGCAAGTGTTTCTTCATCCCAGTATCGAACAGGCCCACGTACAATTGCAAAACAAAATTGGAGCACCCCAAATGCCCGCTCCATATCTTTTCTTGCAGACTTTTGCTTGCTTGCAAAATATTTTCTCTGTACTCCTAATGGTCTTGGGATTGTCTTCATAAAGGTTGACCAATTAGGATAAATCTCATTTGCTAAATAGTATCCCATTGTATATTTATGTCCATTAATTGTATAATAGACAGGAGCAGTATGACCTTCAGCAAGTGCAGCAAAGATAGGTGACCGGTCAAGAACATTAATATCATTTAATGATCCAGGCATTCTAAAAAAGGCATGCCTTATCCAAAGATTTTGTGAAGCCACCACCTTTAGAATTATAGTTGGTTCATGACAATGACCAGTATATATCCTATGCCATGCAATTGAGCATTTCTCTCATTTCCAATATATACAGTCAATGCTCCCTAATATCCCTGGAAACCCACGCTGCTCTCCAATTGATAATAATCGACAAATATCGGTCTCGTTTGGTGCCCTTAGATACTAATCACCAAAAATTTCTACGATTGCTTTGACGAAAGCTTTAAGACTTTCTATCGTAGTGGTTTCTCTAATTTAAAAATATTCATAAATAAGATTTGCAGGAATACCATATACAAGTATTCTGTGAGCTGTAGTTATCTTTTGAAGGCAAGATTAATCAAGAACACCAAAAGCATCTATCCTTTGTTTGAAATATGGATTATGAGTTTCCACTGCATTTATGATTTGAAGAAAAAGACGACGACTCATCCTAAATCTTCTT